GATTTTTCCGACCATGAGTATTGTGCAGTCGGCAATGCCCTACAGCACAGTCTCTTGGTTATTTTTAGCTGTATATATTTTAGTTGGCAATTTATCACAAATATAAAATGGATTTAAATGCGCTTAAGCGATTTGTTATTCATTTTGTAAATATAATATTACACGCCTTATTATCAGCCATGGGAAATTATTATTATGCAATTTTCAATTTACCGTTCACAGCGTGTGATAAGGCCAGCTTGCCATGTCATCTATGTGTATGTATATGTGTGTGTATATATAAAGAACTTTAATTCTAAACCGTATATGCAGTGCGATAAGTTTTTTGTTTCCGCTTTTCAATTTACTCAAAATGCAGTTGATTAACAAATTACAATTTGCATAAATATTTTCAGCCAGTGCAGCGACTTTGCAGCGCGTCGTAATTATTTGCAATGCATAAAGCGCCCACATTATGCGTAATTAATTTTTTCTCTACATCTATGAAAATCTATGTATATATGTTTCTATAAAATTAATTAACAATTTGCATAATGATAAATGGGCGCACGCTTTAAAAATTTGCTACGCAGCCCAAGTGGCAAAAGTGAAAAAGTGAAATGCAAAAATGAAAATGGAAATGGCAATGGAAATGAAAATGAAAATCAACAGAAGCAGTAGGAGAAATATGATTCATAGTCCCATTGTGGCAGACGACAACGAGAGCCGAGAGCTCTGATTTCTACTAGTGAAAGTCAACTGAGTCATTTGTCGTCATAACTTTTGTCATTAAACGGGCAGCCTGGCGGGCCTGATGCCGTCTGATAGAAGCCTCAGCTAGGCCGGCACCAGCACCAGCACCAGCTCCATCTCCTGCTCCTGCTCATGCTGGCTGCTGTTGGGACGTGCTAGACAAACAAAGGCGTTGCATTCGAGACACCAGACCTATTTGAGCCGGCCTCTGTATACATTTTTCATAACATGCTAAATATGTATAGACGCATAAGCCAACACTCACACACACACACATTGACACTTGAGTCCATATGTACTTAGCAGCAGGCTGGCAAGTCACGTTTCTTAATATGTCTGTGTGTGTGTGGGCGTACGAGTGTGCTTCTATATGTGTGTGTGTGTGTGTGTGTGTCTGTGTGTATATTTGTCATTGTGTGCTAAGCTTCACACATTTTTAATTTATTTTCATGCCACTGTCTATGTATATACGTATTTGTTTAGCTTTGCTGCTGCTTTAGCCACAGCCTCAAGCAGCGGGTTAAGAGCCCTTTTTGAACTTTTGAGTTATGGTCAAGCGGGTGCCTTAGCCACCTCAGTGGCTCTGGTTAAATTTATGGCAGTCTGTTTGCTCTTTAAAGGCGAAAAAAAAGATTCTCAAGTATTATTTTGCTATTGGTCTAGCTGAATGACTTATTGTTCGCTTTTCGAGTGTCTGTATACAGATCTGCTAGCACTCTGTTAACACTATGTTAAGTGCATACCCAGATCTGTTAATGATCTGTTTGTCTGCCACTCGATTGAAATCAAAGCAACCTTTTCACTATTGACCAGACCTCGAAAGAAATCGAAGTACAGTATAAGTATATATATATATACACAGTATGTGCATATATATTCATTTGAATTGACTTGAATTTTCCAAAAATGTCGAGTTCAACTATTTTATCAAAGCTTTCGTTGATGCCCAGCCTCGTGGCGAACAATGCGAGTCTGACGGTCGCCCTGGGCTTTGCACTCATTATCTTGCTCTGGCTCTTGGCCACATTCAAATAAATTCGCAATATGCTGCGCCGCCAGCAACGTCAATTGAAGCCGACGCTGCCGGAGGCACCGGGAGAGGAGGAGAATGCGGCTGAGCCCACCCCACCTCAGGCAGTTCAGTCATTTGCACAGCATAATCCTATTCAGAGTGTTGAGCTTCAGAAGCGCAAGCGTTCACAGTCGGCTGCAGCCGCAGAGCCAGCATCCTCGTCACGCTCATCCAAAAATTTCAAATCCCTCAAGTCCGACAAGAGCAACGGGCGAAAACGTCGCATACAGCCTGAACGAAGCTACTGAGAACTGACTGCTGGCAACAAAAATAAACTCGGAAATAGCCGAGACCCATTTCAAATATCTTAAATATTATTGTAGAGCTACCCAATCAATAATTACAGATTGATATCGATTAAGGCAAGTTGTTTTGATATAAATTGCAGTTTACTTTTAATTATAATAGTTAATGGCAACTGCTCAATCTTGCTTTGCTCTTTATAGTTATCTGAGTTCATGGACTATATGCTA